ATTATTTATTAATTAATTGAAGAATGAATTCAAACTTTATAAATGATATGGTAAATGTATAATGTTAAATTTTACAAATGATAATTGATAAATAATAAATTAAAATAACAAAGTTAAAAAAATTAAATTTTTAAATAATAAAAATATTTTTATAAATGAACAAAATTTAATTATTAATAAAAAAATTGTGTACTATTAATAACAAAAACAGATAATAATATTACTCTCTATTTGTAAACTGTAAATAGTTTTTAAATATTTATTTAATTTTAGAAATTTTGTTAGGCACGAATAAACACACTAGTTTTTTGAATTTCAGACCCATCATTTTAATCATAAAGATTTTCAACGTTGGTAAAGAATCTTGACATCATATTAAGCTAAAACATAAAAGACCAGTTTAATATTTTAAAGAAATCATTTGAAATTAAAAATTAAAAAAAAGCTAAAATATTATTAAGACAAAATATAAGTTGACAAAAAAATTTTATTTGACCTTTTATATAATCTTTCCTCTGTTTTTAATTGTAAAATTCTTTAGAAAAAAACATTTATTAAATTATAAATCGTTTTAGAATATCAATAAATTATTAATATTATTTTTCTATTATACATTTAAGTATTTGTTATTTTCTTAATTTTTAAATATTTTAAACTTTTTTTTTATGAATTATTGATGAAAAATAAATTTTTAAGATTTTTTTTGTAATTTTTACTATTATATTATATTTTTAATAAGCAAAAGTGTCAAAATAACTCATAATAAAAGAATTATAAAGTAATAATTACATCAGAAATGAGTAACTCAATTGATTTGAAATAGAAGAGTATATGTTTTTAGTATAAAGTTCAATCACTTAAAACAATATTTTTTTTTATTTCTCATATAGTTCTAAAAAAGATATCATCTCAATATCTAATTATAAGATGTTTAAAAAACAAAATTGTCCATGAATATAAATTTAAGACAAATACTTGAAAATCTTTTGTTAGGAAACTAAAAATAAAAATATTGAATTTGAAGTTGAATTTAAACTTATAAAAAATATTATATAGAACAGTTGATCGTTTCAAATTTTAATACATTAAATATTTATATTTTTAAAAAAAACTTTCTATTATTTTAAAAAATTTAATTACATTAATTATTTTTCTTAAAAGGTGTGAAGTTAATTTATTGCCGACATGTAAATTCACAAACTTTTAGGTATAGAATTCTTAGTTCAAAGTTTGATATTAATGTATTCTTTTTTATTTCCATTTTCTCTCTCTTATAATAACTGGCTTATTTGAAGAAAAAAATAATATCTCTATTTCTTTTACTATTATCATTATAAAATTGTTTATACATAAAAAATATGCTTATAAATTTTCACATTTTAAAGAAATTTTTTGATTTCACGTGTTTAAGAAATAATTTTTATTTCATATATTTTTTTTTATTTCACCTTTTTTTTCTATTTGCATTAAATAATTTAAAAATAATTGTGCAAAAAACGATAAACATATTGCTTCAAAAACAACAAAATAAATTAAATAATTTTTATTAAAAAATTCAACATTTACAAAAATAAGAATAGAGATGTCATATGAAATTAGTAAAAAAAGAGAGAGATTAAATTTAAGAGAATTTTTAGTTTAAAATTTGATATATTAATATTTTGTCTTTATTTTTCTTAACAACAAATAAAAAAAATATTAATAAAGAAAAGACAAATTCTTAAAGAGAGTAAGTTGGAAGAAGTCAGATTCAATAATCTCTATAAAATAAAATAATAGTTGGATAATTGGTCGCCCAACATACCCGTAACTGTCTAGTCACTTGAGCGGGTTCTGCTCCGAGTCGATCGAAGAAATGGCAAGATCTGACACATGGATTTTAACCCATTTCCAAGACAAATTAGTAATCAATGATATTCAGTGATTAACCGTTAAGTTTTTTTTATTTATAAAAAGCAACTTTGTTCCTCATTTTCCATATAATACATACCACAAAATGCCAAATTGATATTAATACTAAAGACACGTGTTTTCCAAAATCAAAACTTTGGAACAATTCAAATACCATATAATCAAGTGGGACAAAGGCCCCGTCCGTCCAACACACCTAAAATCACTATACCAAATAGCATAAACAATCTTCCACAAAGAAGAGAGGTGGTCTGTCGACTCCTCCTGCCAATTGCACATAAAACACCCCCACAAAAACTAAATAAGGCAGGACTTTGCGCCTTTGAAGTTTCCTCTTAGTCGAAAATCTATCCTGAAGCAACTTTCAAGAAAACACGACAACTTTAGAAGGCACCCATGCCCTTCCAATCATAGAAAGCCTTTTTAGACCCTCTCCGACCTGACTTCTCTGATCCCAACCAACGCCATAAGAATATCATACCTATAATTGATCGAGAAACCCATAGTCAGAGGTGACTTTCAAATCCAAGCATCTTCATGGTCGTGCCTAACAACACTCGAAATGAGGACAATCCCGGACAAAATTTTTTTGTCTCCACCTAAAGCTCAAAATTGAGACATCCCTTTCACAAACCTTCATAGAACCCACCACCATCTATGACTTCTGCTCCAGGACGACAAATAATCTCTCAAAAGAAACACACAAAAGGGTAGTCCTTACCCAAATATTATGCCAAAATATAGTCTTTTGTCCATCCCCAACCCTCTTGACGAAAGACGAGACAAACCAATAGGACTCTTGATCCATTGCCCCCCAAAAAGAGAGATATGTCTCCACTGATGAGACACTCTCCTCATAACTCCTACCCTACCTCCAAAAAGGGAACCAAAACCCTCAACCTCATACCTCGCCTTACAAATGTTACTCTAAATCAAAGACAAGTTTGAAAGAATCCTCCATCGCCACTTACTTAATAAGACTAAATATATAATTCTAAGATCCTTAATCCCTAACTTACCTGACATTTTGGATTTACACACATCTTCCCACTTAAACCACGTAAAGTTAACTCTACCTTTGGAGCCCCCCAAAGAAAGCTCATCAGCGAAGCAATCAACTTCTTCAAAAAACAAAAACTAGTATCTTTATGGGGGACAAAAGGAACACAAGATTGAGTTTAAGACTAAATTTAATAGAAACACCTTTCCATCTAAACTGATAAATCTATTAATTCCTCCAAAAAAAAAAAATCCTACCCACATTCACATCAAATAGACAACTCTCGACAAAATTCACTTTGAGATCCGATACAAGTTCAAAACTTCTAAGAACCACTTTGATGGTCAAAAGTTAATCCAGATACGTCACTCTCACAATCATTGTGTCATCGGTATACTGCACATGAGACACCTCAAATCCATCTTAACCCATTTTAATCCCTTGTAGCAAAAAGACTTTAATTTCATATGATATAGACTTAAGGGTTAATACCTATTTTCACCCCTGACATATGGAGTGTATTTGAAAAACCCCCTGCCAAAAAAAAAGTTTCAATTGTTACCTTGACAAATTTTAAAAGTTTCAGTTTTTACCTTGAGGATGCCACATCACCTAAAAGGCTGATGTGGCTTATATTTTTGTGGCATCCTCAAGGTAAAAACTGAAACTTTTAAAATTTGTCAAGGTAAAAACTGAAACTTTTAAAATTTGTCAAGGTAACAATTGGAACTTTTTAGGTGATGTGACATCCTCAAGGTAAAAACTGAAACTTTTAAAATTTGTCAAGGTAACAATTGAAACTTTTTTTTTGGCAGGGGGGTTTTTCAAATACACCCCATATGTCAGCGGTGAAAGTAGGTATTAACCCTAGACTTAAATTTTATCTCATACTCTCTTTATTCTTGATTATAAATAAATTTTACTTTTTAAATTCATTATATATATATATATATATATATATATATATATATATATATATATATATATATATATATATATATATATATATATATATATATATATATATATATATATATATATATATATATATATATATATATATATATATATATATATATATATATATATATATATATATATATATATATATATATATATATATTCATTTTACTTAATACTCTTTCCAATCTTTTTTATAAGAACAAATTCACATTTTTAAATTAATTGAATAATTAATGTATTTTATAGGCCAAATACATTAATTATTTAATAAATCTAAAAAGATGAAATATCTCTTATAAAAGAGAGAATAATAATTTTATTAAATTATTTTAATTAATTATTGATATATTGAAATTAACATTAATGTTAAGTAAGAAAATAATAAATTAAGAATATTTATTAGATGATATAATTGAAAGAATAAATATAAAATTATATTGATAATCTAAAATGATAAATATTTTTAAATATTTTTTTTTTAAATATGACATTTACTTTGAAAGGAAGAAAGTAGATTAAAGGTAAATTTGAAATATAGTAATATTAAATATTAAGAAGCTTTCGCTTAACATCATAAAACTTTTTTCATACATACCAAATCGGAGAGAATAGCTTTTACCTTTAATTATCAAGGTGATATTACACTCAAATGATTAAACTTAGTGCTTAAAGACTTCATTTAATTACAAATGGTTAAAAAAAACAGCTCTAATAATGAGTCAAAGAATATTGGTCAATAATTTTCTTTTTAACCAAAGTAATCACATTAGTTATAGCGTGAAACAAGTTTATAAACAGATAACAAGGTAAAATTAGAGAGCACGTTATTACACTCCTCAATGACATGAATGACTGGTAAAGTTCGAGTATATTGGTGACATGATGAAAGTTTCAATCTCATTCATTACTTTTGTTAGCTTCTGATTATATCTTAAATGCATTTTTAGTGGAATGCGCACCCCAAAGCACGTTATTACTAATGACACAAAAAAACAACTTAACAAAAAAGTTGGTAAATACATAAAAAACTTATAAACCATAAACACCTTCTTGTTTGGTAAAAAGGGTAATTTTTTTCTGTATTTATATTTCAACTTGTTGGTTCATTTTGAGGATCATTGATACCATGATGAAGGTTTCTAGCTTTTGTTCTGTGTTCTTGATGGTTGTCACAGTTTTTATCTTTTTTAGCCTCACAAGTACCACTGGTCTCTCTTGGTTTCCAGGTTATTCTTCTATCTCTTTATTCTCTCTGTCAATTGTGTTATAAAAAATAGGGTTAGATGTTTTTTAATATTGTTTTGCCTTTCATGATTTTTCTTTTCATGTAATCTTTGACAAGAGAAGGGTGCATGCATGGTGATGAAATTCCCTATTCACTCTTATAGATTTTATCTTCACTACCTTTTATCTAATTAATTGTTTATGGATTTTTTTTTTCACCTCAGATTTGGTTGGTACAAAATGTGTTGATGAAACACCACCAATTAGAGTTAGCAGGAAACTGAAGGTATTGATAATTTTCAAAATTGTGGATTCTGACCAAAACTATCCTTTAACTATTGTTGAATTTCTTTGAATTTTCAGGAAAATGTGAATAATATTAAAAGCAACGAAAAAGGGTATTTAGATGAAGAAGGTCGTGTGAGTGTTGAAGATTACAATCCAGTTGATCCAACACCAGGTAGAGATCAAAAGAATGTTAATCCAGGACCAATTGAACATGGAACTCCTCTCATCCCATTCATACCAATATCTCCACCTCCTAAGCCTGGTCCTGGAGATTCTTATTAGGAACAACTTGTTCTTATATTTAAATAAGGCAATAATGCCATTCATACCAATATTTAATTGAGTTGTCACTTTTTTAAAAATGAATTGACGGTGTTGCTTGCATCAGAGTCTCTGGTATTCATAGAATCATGCTAGTATACAGCTAGAAAGTGAAAAGTTAGATCATTTAATGCACTTTCATGGTTTCGATGTAAAAATGGTTTACCGATGTATTTGCTTTAAATGTTAGATCATCGTTATCAGCAATGTAATGTACTACAAGTACCATATCCCTTCTTTGTTCTTAATCTTACATATCTTGTCTTAAAGATATGATTAAGAATAAATGTCTTTAATAATTCAATGATTATGACAGATCAATGCTGTAGGACTCTCTATATTACATTGAATGACTCTGTATTAAAATAGTAGAAGTTTTTTTTTAATTCTCAAGTCAATATTTTCTACTCTACATGTCGGTTCTTTCACTTCCAAAATAAATATCGCGTTTGTGAAAAAAATTTGTCGTGTCGTTTTTAATTTTTAATACAATTTTATTTTTTATCTTTTAATTATATCTTTTAATTAATATTTTTAATATATTATTTTTTCACTTTATAATGATAATTTGAATACATTAATAATCAACAAAGATAATTTGATAAAATTATTATTATTTTTTTTTATTTATTATAATTTTTAATCTGTGGGAAAGTGTTAAATAGGCCAGGAAAGTGTTAAATATGTCAAATATTTTAGAATGGAGGGAGTATAATTTATAATTTTATAAAAAAAATAGTAGTTCTCAGTTTTATTTTTATACTTTTTCCGCAGTTTGGTTGATATGGCTATGTATAATCGAGCCATATCTCTATTATTCGGTTGAAAATTTCGGGGATCGCTTCTCCCTTTCGAAGTGGAGAAACATTTTAAAGAAATTCTAAAATACTTTTATGAATTTAGAATTGTATTTTTAGACACACCTTTTTCATATTAAATACACGCGTAAATGAGTTACATATTTTTCGTCTGAATATGGTGATACACTTTTGTATTCACCATATGTGCACCTCATGCATTTTTAAATGAGTCATTCTCATTTTGATATAAATTGATCTGGAGACACATCTCTGTATTCATTCTTTTTTTTTTTTGTTGAGACCAAACCAAAAAAGGCTGGAACTACACAAAGGAATTATATATGGTTACCAGGCCCTTTTCCCTTAGGCCCATACCTGACACAACTCAACTAGAAACCTAGCTAAGTCCTGTTAGTGCGAACAAAGGTAACTTTCTTCAGCTACACTTTCATCTTCCACATGCAATGACAAGCTATTTTGCCGCTGGTTCTCGGAATGTCATCTTCCTTGTCGTTCATCACCCCGATCAGGTCCTTGTTATCCGATCAAGTCCTGGTTCTCAGAATGTTATCTCTGTATTCATTATGTGAGTACAACTTCAATACAAGGTATTTTGCATGATATCAAATCCGGGAAAGATGACACACCGATAAAATAAATGATATCTCTATGTCTTGTGGTACTCCTCTGTATTATAGGTCTTAGGAATCATCAAAAAGTATTTTGAAATTGTCCCAACATATTGAAAAACAGTTTTTGCATGTTTTTGCATTGCATGTATCGAGACACTCGATTTTCAGGTCGACATATGTAACTAAATTTTTAAGTCTGTAAGCTTCTGTAACTCACAGGTCGACACATATAACCTTCAGGTCAACACATACTGAAAGATTTCTGAAATTGCAGAAATTCTTATTTTATGTGTTGACACATCCATATTTCAGGTCGACACATTTACTCATGTTTTACAGCATGTAGCTTCTGACTTGCTCAGATTGACACATAGAGTCCTTCAGGTCAACACATACATTCTTTTTATAACGTATGTGTTGACACATACGAATTTGAGGTCGACACATAAAATCTGTTTTGGTCAAATTTTCAATTTCTCTTATTCTGAATTTGACCTTTTTGCCCTAAATATTTCCAATCTAAAAATACCCTTTCATGCATCATTGATGGGGTCTGCGATCGACTTAATGTCTGATGGTATCTTAACTGCAAGCGCACAGCCTATCGAGGTAGTAATAAAAGATTGTCGAATCCACAGGGACTTTGTAATCACGCTAGTGTTGTAAAACAGGTTGGTTTAGCTAAGGCGGAAATTGTCACGTTGGTTTTGGGAAGATTAAGGAAGGTAAATTAATTGATTTTAAAGTAATTATAAAATGAACGGTCGGTATACAATAGAGTCGACCTAAGGGATCTAATCGGACCTAGGCATATAAGGATGGTCAACTTGGTTTATCTGTAAAATTAATCAGTTTAAAAACCCTCAACTCACACTTTCATGGTCTTATCTCGGATTATACGTCTAAAGCCATATACCTGCTTTCGCTAGCCTATAAGTGTTTAGAAGTATTTTTTGGAAACTTAATTAATTCTAATTTGGTTTAAAGCGCTTTCACTGTATTTAAATCAAATGCCTAACTTTAGCTATCCGGTTAAAAACCTCACACTTTCGTGGTCTCGATCTAACCTATTTACTCTTCTTACTTTCGTAACAAAGATTTTATTATTAAGCATAAAAAGTTATAACCAGAGTTAAGTTGATTAAAGTTTTAGCCTATGTTTGATTAGATGCCTAATGTCTCTTACTATTTCATACCGACACTAAAGGTTTAACTAGCCATGGAAATTAAAATAAACATACTGTAAATAAAAGCAAACAAATATAAATTGGACATTATAAATAATAAATAACAAGCATGCATTAATTAATTAATTAAAATGAATTTAATACAATTGCAAAATAAAAACCTGACAGTAAAGCCAATACTTCAATCCTTCTTCCACAAATCGGAAACTCGGACTTGGTATCGGGAGTATTGCAAATTCTGAAGCTTGAACGATAAATCTTAAACTAAAATAATAATTCCCTAATGTTGGAAATTATTATTTGGACAGTGGAATTAAAAGAATTGAAATAAACAAATGCTGGAAAATGATAACTGAAATAATACTGGTTTTAATTTTGGCAGAGCTTCGGCACAAATAAGCTGTAATAAACTCCGTACTTTTAATGTTCAATATTGAGGTATTTATAGAAGAATAAAATCTGGCAGTTGGTTTGAAAACTTGTAACTCAGTCTTCCTTCAAAATCTCCAAAAATATAGTAACGTGTGTAGTTGAGGGAGAAATGGTGAACTTGGTGTTTGACTGGAGAGAATTAAGGAGTTTGGAAACTCCTTCTGTTATGCTTGCCACGTTCTGCATTCTTCAAATAAACTATATACGCGTTAGGTTCGTTAGCTTGGCGTCACGAGCAGATTTTGGTCTTTCCCGTGTTACGGTCGTGGCCACTGTGTTACGGTCGTAACACTCTTTAAACTGGCTTACGGTCGTGGCAACTACATTACGACCGTCATAGCTACAAAAATGCAGTTCTTTAACAGATTTATCTTTTTCTTCTGTACTTTTGATTCTTTCTTGCATTGTTTCATGTTTTCTTCTGTTTTGAGCTCAGTTATGAAATACCTGCAAAAAGTGATGACAAACTCAAAATATTCGGGAATTAATCGGGTCAAAATAATACAGAACGGGCGAATTTCATACAAAATAAACGATACGATTTCGTGTTATCAAATACCCCCACACTTAAACCTTTGCTTGTCCTCAAGCAAAATAATCAAATTAAAAATATCGGATAAGTTTTTATAAACGCACATAACTAGTATACCTTTCGTTTTCAAATAATTTCAAGAAATCCTAAGTTAGTTCGGCCGAGAAAATCGAATGAAACAACAACGATACGTAAATGATACAAGCAACAAGCTAGTCGACGACTATCCATTTTAAACGAAACGTCCAATTATACCGTTATAAGTCTACTCAAGGTTTCTCGTTCATATTTCACCCGGTTTCGTTCTTGCGCAATCACATTAAGCCCATTATCCTTGCACGCACGTAGTGGAATAGCCGGTTAGTGGTTCTGATCAAAACGCGACGGTTTTTGGCACAATTATGTGGCAACCTCTTTTATCCAATTGCAAGATGCGGGGGATCAAACCGTAGTCTGCCCTACCGAGTTCAGTACCAGATGCTTCCGAACCACCTAGACAATGGATTCTTATGTTACTTAGTAGAAGTTTTTGCATCCGTTGGATTAAACAATCGGGTGAGGATCGCCCAATTTAATTGGTGCAATATCTATTTCCTTAAAGCATGTAACATTGTATTTAAATCAATTTTCAAGATCATCCACTTATGTTCATCGACTTTCCACGTGGATTGTGTTAGGACTGGTGCTGACTGCTAATATAAACTACTAGGGGCTAATTTAAGATTCAAAACTCAAAGTATCGGTATAACGAAAATGGAGACGATTCGCGCGAGTAGAGAGTCGAAGGTGTCATAATCGTATAGTTCTCGTTGGATCGTTCTCGGCCTTCTAACTAAGATTTCAGTTAAAGAAGGTAACTAATGGTTATGCGAATATAAAAGGCGGAAAATTTTTCGGAAAATTTTTGGTATGGCTAAATAAAACGGGGAGAAAATGAAATAACGAAATGTAACAGAAATAGAAATGAAATTACTCGTTCTGGATTAAGAATGCAGTACTCCTCCCACACTATATCAAACATTGTATCAATGTTATGATATAATGGCGAGGTTAAATAAAAAGTACATCGGAAAAACAAGGAAAACAACAAGAAAAGGAAAAACTACTGGCGACCACGGCGGCTTCGGGTTCGTGACCGTCTGGAAGGAGTAGCTTCAGGGTCAGTGTCCTGGGGTCCAAGAGATGTAACATCCATCCTTAAAGCATTAAGCTCGCATATCACTTCATCAAGCCTTTCATTTGTCGAGCGCTGACCACTCAAGATTTGGACATTTTGCTGATGTAAGGCGTCATAACGCTCCTGATTCTTCCTTTCAAGAGCTACAGCCATCTGATTCTGCTGATGGAGGGCTCTAAGGACGTCCTCCATAGTAAAAGG